TTATTGTTTCTTCGGCTGTGCAGAAGCTTTTTAGTTTGCCGTAATCTCATTTTTCTATGTTTGCTTTTTTTACTTGTGCTTTTGGAGTCATATCCAAAAAATCATTGTCCTGTCCAAAGTCAAGAAACTTTTCCTTATATTTTCTTTAGTAGCTTTATAATATTAAGTCTTACATGTAAGTCTTTAATCCAGTTTGCATTGATTTTTGTATATGGTGTGAGATAAGGGTCTAATATCATTCTTCTTCATGTAGATATGCAGTTTTTCAGACATCATTTGTTGAAGAGACTGTTCTTTCTCCATTGTGTGTTATTGGCATCTTTGTGAAATATCAATTGACCATAAATGCCTGGTTTGTTTCTGGGCTCTCTGTTGTTCCACTGGTCTGTCTGTTTTCATGTCAGTACCATGATGTTTTCATTACTATAGGTTTGTAGTATATTTTGAAGTCAGGTAGAGTGTGATGCTTCCAGGTTTGTTCATTTTGCTCAAGATCGCTTTGACTCTTTGGGGTCTTTTGTGGTTCCATTCAAATGGAAGGATTGTTTCTTCTATATCTGTGCAAAGTGTCATGAAAATTTTGATAGGGATTGCATTGAATCTATAGATTGCTTTGGCTAGTATGGACATTTTAACAGTGTTAATTTTTCAAATTCATGAATGAACATGGGATATCTTTCCATTTATTCATGACTTCTTCAATTTCTTTCATCAGTGTTTTCAGTATAAAAGTCTTTTATCTCCTTAGTTAAATTTATTACTAGGTCTTTTTTTAAGCTATTGTTAATGGGATTGCTTTCTTGATTTCTATTTTGGATAGATTGTCGTTATTATTTAAGTTTTAAAGATGAATAAAGTGAGACCAGGCGCAGTGGCTCACGCCTGTAATCCCAGCAGTTTGGGAGGCCAAGGTGGGTGAATCACCTGAGGTCAAGAGTTCAAGACCAGCCTGGACAACGTGGTGAAACCGTGTCTCTACAAAAAATACAAAAATTGCCGGATATGGTAGCACACACCTTTAGTCCCAACTACTTGGGAGGCTGAGACAGGAGAATCACTTGAACCTGGGAGGCGGAGGTTGCAGTGAGCCAAGATGGCACTACTGCAGTCCATGCTGGGTGACAGAGTAAGATTCCGTCTCAAAAAAAAAAGATAAAGAAAATGGATTTTAGGAGATTACGTGAGTAGTCTGGGTCATTCATTTCATTAACTGTTGGAATTAAGATTGAAACCCAGGCAGTATGAATTGAACCCTCTCTGATTATCACTACATCGCCTCCAGATTTTGAAGGGAGGTAGCTTGATTACTTTCTAGAATCTGACCCAAATGTGAAACCACCATTAACCTGTCATTGGTGGAAGATTCAGGCTGTTCTGTTGAACACACAGTTTTCAGATCAGGGATTATGAATAACAACTGAAGACTTAAACAATTTTTAGCATTTAACTTACTTTTTAATTTTGGTTGCATAGTATCATGAAAAGCGTGATATATTAGTGGCTAATGGTAACAGTATTTTTAAAAATGCCTTAAATTGGTATAAGAGGATGATGTTCAGTTTATTGGAAATAGCAGGAAAAGCTGAAAGTGAAGGAGTTAGAATTCACCTGCCCTGCTTGTTGGGCCTACTGGAGTCTGGGACTTGGTTTAATCTTTGATATTTTAAAGCTTGGTTCATAACATTTGAATATGCATTGTAAAATTATATGAATATGCTTTTGAATATGCATTTTAAAATTATAGCTTTTTAATTGTGTGTATATATAACAGTATGAAATTGCATTTGTAACAATCTGAAATTCATCTATTAGAAACTTATTTAGTAAGAATACATTATTTTCTCTTGACATTTAGACCATTTTCAGACCTCTAAACTCCTTTAACATCCTTCCTCTGGTAAAACTACTGTGTAGCACTTGAACCTATTAAGCTGATACCTTGTAGTTGAACTTTACTGACTTCCCTAGTTAACAGGTAATACTTTTGTAACTGACTGGCATGGAATTAGCAGCAAACAGTCCCACACAACCCCAGCTATCTACCTTTTCTGTCTCTCATTATACATACTATCTAGGTGGCTCTTGAATTGTAAGGGTTCCCCAAAACAGTTGATTTTACAGTTTTTAAAGGGTTATAGAGACCAAGAGGCTCAACTTTTTCTTTTCTTTTCTTTCTTGTTTTTTTGTTTTTGTTTTTAAGGGTCTCACTCTGTCATCCAGGCTGGAGTGCAGTGGTGTGATCATGGCTCACTACAGCCTCAACCTCCTAGACTCAAGCGTTCTGCCTCAGCCTCCCTAGTAGCTGGGACTGTGAACACATGCTATTATGCCAGGCAACTTTTTTTTTTTTTTTTTTTAATAGAGATGGGGTCTCACTGTGTCGCCTAGCCTGGTCTCGAACACCTAGGCTCAAGTGATCCTCTCATCTTGGCCTCCCAATGTGCTGGGATTACAGGTGTGAGCCACCACGCCTGGCCTCAACTTTTTCATTCACCATTTCCTAGATTAGCTTCTCTGAACCCTTGTGATCATAGATTTTAATTGGTTTAAGGCAGCAAATTTTAAAAACTTATTCTTTTATTCCTCTTTATGAGAAGAGAGTTAAGAAAATAGTAAAGTTGGCCAGGCACAGTGGCTCACGCCTGTAATCCCAGTACTTTGGGAGGCCAAGGCAGGTGGATCACCTGAGGTCAGGAGTTCGAGACCAGCCTCAACATGGAAAAACCCCATCTCTACTAAAAATACAAAATTAGCCGGGCATGGTGGTGCATGCCTGTAATCCCAGCTACTTGGGTGTCTGAGGCAGGAGAATTGCTTGAACCTGGGAGGTAGAGGTTGCGGTGAGCCGAGATCGCGCCATTGCACTCTAGCCTGGGCAACAAGAGTGAAACTCCATCTCAAAAATAATAATAATAATAATAATGATGATGATGATGATGTCAAGGTTTTACTTCTCCCTCTTTCAAAAAGAATAACAATAACTACAATAGTAACATAGGTCACCTATTTTGAGCATGTACTGACTATGGGCCAGGCATATTACGCTGTGCTAATGTTGTTGATTCTCACAACACGTATAATCATCATTATTTTACAAGTAAGGGAATGGGCTTAAAGCAGTTAAGTAACTTGAACATGTGAATGGTGGACATGGGATTTAAACTCTTGGGATGTGCTGAAAAGGTACTGTAGCATAATTTTTGACCAGAATATCATTGGAACTTGGGCCAAAGAATATTGGTAAATTTTATGCTTTTTTTTTTTTCACATTAAAAAAAAGAAATTTCTTCTGTGTATACTATATGATGTGTTTATGTACAGAGTTCTTTTCCATGCTGTGGAGATTGGCATGGATCCCTGGCAAAGATTATTAAAATTGAGACTGTTTGTTCCACTTTTCAATCCTGGCCATTTGTCAAGCACAGTGTCTCAGACTGTGACTGAGAGTGAAGCTCCATGGGGCATGGCAGCCTCTGCTGAACACTGGAGAAGGAGTGTGTGAGGCCCCCTGTCATTTCCAACAAGTGAAGTTGTCAGGGGCTGCCAGGCCTGGCAAGGGCTTTCACTGCCACAGCCTTCCTGCCCCGGGTCCCTGGCTTGGCTGTGCCTCTGGCTCTGTGGCAGCTGGGAAGAATAAAGGGCTTCCTGTTTGAGCCTGGCACTGCCACATGTAACAGGTTTTCCTTGGAGTTTTTTTTTTTAATTCTCTACTTTCAGTTGCTTGACTCTGCCTATTGTGACCTCTGACTTCTGTGTTGTGTGTATAGTCTGTTAGTAAAACTTTAGACTGAACAGGGTCCTAAACGTTATCTGCTTCTGCCTCCTCCTCATTTTATAGATAAGGAAGTTGACTCTCAAACATGAAATGAATTATTCAAACCTATGGGACTAGGAACCAGGTCTAGAAGCCTGTCTCGTGACTCTAGTCTAGTGATATTTTCCCTGTTACAGAATGATTTGTTCTTCCTATGTCTTGCTTCCCATCTCTGACTTGCTCTCCTGATTCTGGCGTGCCGCCTGTCTTGTTGATCCCTTGGCTTTGCATCTTGCACTGATTGAGGGAACAGTTGTTGGTGGTGTTAATCTCAGCTTTGGAATTACTGTGTGACCCCTGGTAAAGTCACTTTGTGCCTTAATATAATTATCAGCAGATTAAGTAGGACCCTTATCAAAGAGGTGCTCTTGAGAGAATGTAAAAAATTTCCAAAGAGGTTTCTTGGGAAACTGGTGGCCTGTTTTATCATTATTCGGTGGAAGAGACTTTTAGAAAACTTCATGAGAACAAAATACAGGAGAAAAAATCAGTTGATAAAGGTTTCAGGTTGAGCAAGCCGAGCAAGGACTCATGAGAACATTAGAGACTTCTGACCAAGTTATTATATAATATAGTTAATAGGAGAGAATACTACTTCTTTCATTGTTCTTTACACAGAATACCTGTTGGATCAAATTCTGCTCTGCAGGTGGTAGTGTAGAGTAATTTATAGGTTTTACTTCTGATCCATTTGAACTTGGAAAAGTGTCTCCTTACGTTGTTTTAACAAATCTGATTCGGAAAGAAGAATGTAAAATTTTCAATACTGTAGAGTTTTGATTTAGTAAAAAGAGAATAAATGCTTTTAAGTTGGACACAATTGAGTTAAATCTGACTTTTTCAATCTGTTGTTAACCTCTTTGAAAGTCAGATTTCCTATACGTAAAATGGAGAAAATTTATTTATTTCCTATATGTAAAATGGGGAAAATTTGTAAGGGAGAGATATGAGGGCTAAATAAAAATAATTATATAGAATAGCTAATGGTTTGATAACTTTCTACATGTGGGGCATTCTCTTAAGTGCGATACACATGTCATCTCATTCAAATATCTTAATAGTCTCATAAAGCGGGAATTGTTATTATCCTAATCTTACATTTGGAAAGTGCTTGGCACATAGTAGGTTCTTAATCTGAGTTAGCTTCCTTCCTTTCTAAAGGTTTAACACTTTCTGTTATATCTAGATATCTGATATCCATGTTACTGGAGAGTCAGAGGATATGTCTGCAAAAGAGAGATTGCTACTCTGGACACAGCAGGCAACAGAGGGTTATGCTGGAATTCGGTGTGAAAATTTCACTACCTGCTGGAGAGATGGAAAATTATTTAATGCCATCATTCATAAATACAGGTATGGAATTTGTGGATATTTTCCTTATACAACTGTAAGACATGTTTCTTTCATTTCTGAATTTTAAAATTATCATTTATTATTATAGAAGCAAAAGCATGGCAAAAAATTAGAAAATACAGAAAAATTGAAATAAAAAATCGGCCGTGTGCAGTGGCCCATGCCTGTAATCCCAGGACTTACGGAAGCCAAAGTGGGTACATTGCTTGAGCCTAGGAGTTCGAGAACAGCCTTGGCAAAAGGGTAAAACCCTCTCTCTTCAAAAAAATACGAAAAATTAGCTTGGCATGGTGGCAGGCGCCTATATTTCCAGCTACTCCGGAGGCCAAGGCTGTGGTGAGCCGTGATCATGTGACTGCACTGCAGCCTGAGTGACAGGGGGAGACTCTGGCTTAAGAAAATAAAAAAAATTTTAAAAATCACATTTCCACTACTTAGAGGACATCATTCTGAATTGTAGTGTGTACACACACACACACACACACACACACACACACACACGTACACACACACACACGGCTGTAATATGTCTTTGGATATTGGCAGTAATTTAGCAGATAGCAAGCTTTGATTTTGCCTCTAAAGAACTGCTGAGTGTGAAGGTTAGAGTTTAGTTCAGACTTGTAGCCCACAAGTTTCCAGTTCGTATCTCCTAGTCTAATTACTCTAGTGAGTGGGCTTAGCAATTGCCAGTTTTGGGGTGGTAAATAGTTTCCTGTTGAGAATTATTAACAACTAAATCCACATTAATACTTACATAACACTTACTAAGTGCCAGGCACTATTCTAAGCAGTTTACATATGTTAATTCATTTACTCCTCACAACATCCCTATTGTCATCCCAGTAAACAGATAGAAACTGAGACACAGTAAATACTTGGCTTGCAGTCATACAACCAGTGAGTGGCAGACTTGGAACTCAAACTTAGGCAATCTGGCTCTTGGGTTCATGTTCTTATTGCCTTATAAGAAGCTAAATCCCCAGAAAGTATTTACTGAAAATAATGTATTTCTTTTTTTTTTTTGGAGACAAAGCCTCGTGCTGTTACCCAGACTGGAGTGCAGTGGCACGATCTCGGCTCACCGCAACCTCCACCTCCCAGGTTCAAGCGATTCTCCTGCCTCAGCCTCCCGAGTAGCTGGGAGTACAGGCGTATGCCACCACACCCGGCTAATTTTTATGTTTTTAGTAGAGATGGGATTTCACCATGTTGGCCAGGCTGGTCTCGAACTCCTGACCTCAGGTGATCCACTCACCTCGGCCTCCCGAAGTGCTGGGATTACAGGCTGAAAACTTGATTTCAGTTTTCAAGAAATATATCAAGATATATTTCTTGATCTTAGGTTTTTTTTTTTTGGTTTTACAAATGTTATGTCATGTTGTTGAATAACTAACTATATTCCTAAAGCTATGAAGTCATTAAATTATAAACTATATATGAACTATAAAGTCATTAAACTAACAAATTTATTTGATTACAATAAAAATAATTATATAGGATAGTTAATGGTTTGATAACTTTCTATATTCTCTTAAATGCTATACACATGTTATCTCATTCAAATCTCCTAACAATCCATAAAGCTGGAATTGTTATTATCCAAATTTTACAAATAAGGAACCTTAGGTTTACCAAGTTTATACTGCTAATAAGTTAGAGAACTTACACTCAAAGCCAGCTCTGTTTGATTTGACATCCCGTTCTCTTTCTCTCTTTCCTCTTCTTTCCTTTCACTTCTCTTTTCTCTCCCCTTTCCTTTCTCCCTTTTTATTTTGGAAATTTCAACATCTAAAAACTGTAATGAATCCTCCACATATGCACACTCAGGAGCCCCTATTTTTATTTTATTTAATTAATTAATGTATTTTTTGACATGTAGTTTCGTTATTGTTGCCCAGGCTAGAGTGCAATGGCATGATCTTGGCTCACTGCAACCTCCACCTCCCAGGTTCAAGCGATTCTCCTGCCTCAGCCTCCCAGGTAGCTGGGATTACAGGCACCTGCCACCACTCCTGGCTAATTTTATTATTATTATTATTATTTTAGTAGAGACAGGATTTCACCATGTTGGCCAGTCTAGTCTTGAACTTCTGACCTCAGGTGATCTACCTACCTTGGCCTCCCAAAATGCTAGGATTACAGGCGTGAGCCACCGTGCCTGGCCGCCTGAGTCACCACGCCTGGCCCCTATTTTTAAATACTATAATTGTATCCTTCCTTTGTGGAACAACATTTAAATAGAGGTGGGTGTAGGTTGCTGAATCAAAAAGAAAAACCAGGATCAACTTGCCTACACTTGTTTAAAGCACCAGATCATCTTGAGTGAAGGTTTAGTGGCTGCAGACATAGCCATCATCATACTGCACTGTCCAGGTGACTTAGAATGAGAGGCCATGAGAAGGCTGTGCAGCTGGGCACATTCTGTACTTGGAATGATAGAATCTTTGTGGCCTTTGAATTAAAATATTTCAATTGTGATACCTAAAGTATTTGTAACAGTGCTTCTTTGAGGGTGTGTTCTGCTCTCTCCTTTGAAGTTTTTTAGGCAGAAGCAAAATATAGGAACCAGCTATTCTTCTAAAATAACCTACTTTTGGCAGGGAGGATGAGGCAGGAGGATTGCTTGAGGCCAGGAGTTTGAGACCAACCTGGACAATATAGCAAGACCCCATTTCTACAAAAATAAAATAGATAGAAAAACCCCCACTTTTAAAAACAATGACCTCTGGACATTATCTCTGTAGTACTCATGAATAATTATGAATACAAATTAGTGTATGTGTGTGTATATATATAAAACGCATTTTTCTCCTAAGTACTTAAGTATTTCATTGTGTGTGTCAGGGATCCTAAAATTTCCTATGAAAGTTTGATGTCATAGAGCTCTTACTGCTTTAGGTGAGAATTTGAGTCTTTGAATTAGTTATTTGTTTTGAACTTTTATTTTGACAGCAATAACTTTTTAGAACAATGTGTAGCTTTAACTTAGAACTTTGGTTTTCCTAGTTTGCTTTATTTTCCTTTGTTAAAATTCATGGTTAAAATACCATGTATCAGGTTTAAATGCTTACAAGATTTCTTTGTTGCTGAAATTCTGTTGTTGTTCTGTAGCTTATAAAATGTTATTGTGGTTTCTTTCACTAGAAGAAACCTTTCATCTATAGAACTTCATTTTTAGTTGAAGTCATTGAGCCTTTCTTAAAAAAAAAAAAATGAGTACTTTTCTTCCAGCATGTGAAATAATTAAGAGAGTTGAATTGTATGTATTTCTCTCTGTTGAATACCTTGATTTACTCTAAAAGAAAAAAGAGACAAATATAAACAGTCAAAATATCACCATGCGCAAATTTTTTGATATTGGACAATCATAATCACATTTAGAGAGTAATGTCTTGGCTGGATGCCCTGGCTCACACCTGTAATCCCAGCACTTTGCGAGGCTGAGGCAGGAGGATTGCTGGAGCTCAGGAGTTGGAGACCAGCCTGGGCAACACACCAAGACCCCATCTCTACGAAAAATTTAAAAATTAGCCAGGCATGGTAGCACACACCTGTAGAGAATTTAGAATTAGAATTTAGAATTTTCTTTGGAGTTATTTTTTTAATTCTCTACTTTCAGTTGCTTGACTCTGCCTATTGTGACCTGACTTCTGTGTTGTGTTTATAGTCTGTTAGTACAGCTTTAGACTAAAAAGGGTCCTAAACGTTATCTGCTTCTGCCTCCTCCTCATTTTCTTCTTGGGAGTCTGAGGTGGGTAGGTAGCTTGAGTCCAGGAGGTCGAGACTGCTGTGAGTTGTGACTGTGTCACCACACTCCAGGGTAGGTGACAGAGCAAGACCCTGTCTCAAAAAAAGAGTAGTTTTTTACTTAATAATTGTTTTTCCTTGATAATTATTTCCATAAGTTTTGAGCTGTATTTGGATTTGTTGTGGAAAATGTCCATTTTATTGGGCTTTATTTTTTGTATTTAGATCAAACATTTATATGGATTTTACTTGGCTTTGGCAATAAAATTTATCTGAGGTGACACAGTGGGCTTGGTTTCTGTTGGTTGCTGTAGTGGATGAAAAGAGGGATGTGGTTATCCTTATGCAGCAAATTTGCATCCTCAAGATAGAATAGGAAATTTTTCTCCAGAGATTAGAAGGAAAATATATTTTTGACTTAAAAGCAAACCAATATTATTTGTGATAGGTGACTGACTTAGTAAAATTTTTGGTGCATATCTTCTAAAGATTTAGAAATATTGATCTGAAATAGGAACAGAGCAATAGCATCCTTCACATTTTGTATTAATATAAATTATACTGTTATAAGTTATTAATCAAATATATTTGGATTGTCCAGCACATTTTTATTAGTGTTTGCATATAGAATATGACTCTTGAAAATAAAAAGAATGTTTATTAACCCTATAAAGAGTATTTGTTTTCCTAACAATTCAGTATCCTAAAGTTTTCCGTGGAAAATATAATTTTCATGTTTCTTGAAAGAATTAATATATGAAATAACAATGAAGAGAAATTTTTATAATAAGTGTAGTTTATAGATGTTACGGAATAAAAATGATCCATGAAGTTAAAAAGTAAGTAACAGTCACAAAATAATTACTTAAGAAATAGATGTATAATGTTGGCCATGTGGCAGTTTCTGTCCTAGCTGTTTTTTAATGTGTTAGCTTTTAAAATTACCACAGTCCTGTGAAATAGATTGTGACTCTGTTTTTAAAATAATTTCAACTTTTATTTTAGATTCTAGGGGTATATGTGCAGGTCTGTTACTTGGGTATATTGCATGATGCTAAGGGTTGGGGTACAACTGATCCTGTCACCTAGGTAGTGAGCATCACACCTAATAGGTAGTTTTTCAGCCCTTGCCCCCCACCCCATAGTAGTCCCCAGTGTCCGGTTGTTGCCGTCTTTATGGCATGACTTCATTTTTATCAATAAAGAAACTGAGGCTCAAAGAGTAACTCATGTTTTTGACATCACATACC